CTCTCTTATTTTTGTTGTGATTTTTGTAAAGCCAAGGGCTAAGTGTGTATGGGTCCGAGAGACCATTTTGTGTAACCGGGCTGTTGCCTTGGAAGATGTAAGCCCTTAAGGGCATTTTATTGTTTTGAGACTAGATTTTTCACATGCTATAAATTCATATGTCCTTTTGTTTCGTTGAATGTATATCGCATGTGGAACTTTTGTATTAAACTCATTTATTAAATATGTGAAGATGGAAGGATTATTGTTATTATTTAGTGAATGCTCATTAATGTGGATAGTTCATATTTAATTATTTTGAGGCGTTACATTAATTAAGAAATTAACCAAATAAAGCCAATTAAAACATTATGAATCAAATTTTACAAAACTTCATATTATGTCCTAAAAATCATGCTAATCGTAACTGTAAAGTCAATTTCCGGTTATCGCGCCTCTAAGGCTTTTAATTTTCAGTCTAAAGATCGCAATTTCAACAGATTTTTTTTTTAACCGACAGATAGAAATTGATAAACATGCAATTCACACACTAACACATGGAATTTCATATTAAACACATAAACAAACATATATTTAAACATATGAAAGGGTCGGGTTATTACACTCTTAATAAGAATCATATTTATGAGTGTGAACTAGACCGGTTATATGAGAATTAACAAGACTGAATTTTCTAGAGCACTCACTGAACCAGGCATTGTTCAGGCCAAAATGAACACAATTGTAGAACAAGACTGTGTCTAGTAATATTCTGTGTGTAATCTATTGTCTTGGCTTACACCAACAGCTGAACAATTCAAGGCATCTCATCGACTGGGCAGCTAGTAAGTCCGATAAGTTTTCACTAGGGAAGGTTCAAAGCCAAAAGTTATCTATCCTAAAGCAGGGTATCTCCTTAATGTATTATCTCATATTTTTTGCATATTGTTGTATGTCTGTTTCCGTCAACTCCATTCATGTAAGGAATTGTTGGAAAGTTTGAATTTTTTGGCTTATTTTTGGGCAACTTTGAGCCCAAATTGAAGTGGGACCCATGCACCTTTTGAGGTGGGTCCGAGTGGTAACGTATTCTTTGCCATGTGTTGAATCATGCCTCGAAAATGGTTCGTCAAAAATATTTTCCGGGTGAATGTAAAGTTGACGTCATTTTTGAATTCGTGAAAATAAAAGTTGAAGAGACAAAATGGGTTTGCTCATTAAACGGCTTGTCCCATATTGAAATAAAGAGAGGTTGCCATACTTGGGATGGGCCCTAAGGAGCATCCCAAGTTTTATAAGGAGTGGAGTTATGGACAAAATAGGTTTTGACCCAAATCCACCAATGATTGTCAAAATAGATATTCAAAATTATACATTATTATTTTAGCTAATTACTTTTTTAGCATATGTTCTAACAAAACTCTCTAATTTAACTATATTTCTTTTCTCTTATAATTTTTTTTCAAATACTACAATATTTTTGTAATAATTATAAATTAATTATATTAGTCATATTTTTTTAACTGTTATTTTATTTTATTTTTCTACTGGTCATATTTATTTATTTATTTTTATAACAACCATATCTTTTCAACCACCATGTTTTCTAGTAGTCATATTTTTTTATTAGAACGATCATATTTCTTAAAGGGGGATTTGGTAATAGACCAATCATTGTCTAATTTGTCTTTCAAAAGGACAAGAATTATATAGGTACTTTCAAAACTCCCTAATATTTTAAAATTTGTTTCTTTTACTATATTACCCTTATATCTATTAGCTTTCCTATTAAGCCATCTTCACAGTATATTTTAGAGTAAAATTTTACTTTGAATCAGAGTAAAGTTTACTATGATTCAAAGTAAAATTTTATATTGTTACGTAAATCAACATGTGTTTTAACCAGAGTAAAATTTTACTATGATTCAGAGTAAAATTTTACTCTGAATGTACAATTTTACTCTGAATCAGAGTAAAATTTACTATGATTCAAAGTAAAATTTTATATCGTTAAGCAAATTAACATGGTTTTAACCAGAGTAAAATTTTACTTTGAATCATAGTAAACTTTACTCTGATTTAGAGTAAAATTTTACTCTAAAAGTACAATTTTACTATGATCTAAGGAGAGTATCCACTTTGAATCACACTAAGTGTCATGTATTAATAACCTTGTGTGTTTGGTTGCTGAGAAAATCACAGAAACATAATAAGAAAACCAAATATAGTTTGGTTGCTGAGAAAATCAACATGTTTTTTAACCAAAGTAAAAATTCAGAGTAAAGTTTTACTTTGAATCATAGTAAACTTTACTCTGATTCAGAGTAAAACTTTACTCTGAAATTTTGCTCTGATTGAATCAGAGTAAAGTTTACCATGATTTAAAGTAAAATTTTATATTTTTAAGCAAATCAACATTTTTTAACTAGAGTAAAATTTTACTCTGATTTGTAAAATTTCTGTGTGAAATTCTTATTAGAGAGATTCTTATTAGAGAGAGAGAGAGAGAAATTGAATAGATCATCTATTTTAATAGATCGATCATCCATTGAACAAGCTGAGTATGAACTGATCAATTCAAAAACTAGTACAAACACAAATCTATATTACAATGATATATAACCACAAAATATACAGATAAAAAACTAAACAAAAACATCTAAATATCAATATAATCATAATCTAATTGAGGTGGCCATTTCAGAAAACACATCCAAATATCTCTCTATCTTTTGATTTCAAAGAATACATGTGTTGAACAACACTCATACACACAAATATATATATATACACACATATATATTCAAAATGCAGATCTGTGTTTAAAAAAAATATCGCGTAATATACATATATACACTCACTTACCGATATATATACATATACACATGTATGTATGAGTCATACATACATACATACATACACACACATATATAAATACATACATACACATATACATAGGAAGAGCAAATCAGTAGAGACGTAGCGGAGCTTGGCGTGATCGCCAGAGGGAGCGGCGGAAGAGGATCAAACGTTGGCGGCGTTGGCGAGGTCGACACAAAAGTTCCAGAGGCGGTAGCTGAGCTTCCAGGTCTGAAGCTTGAAGGAGTTAGAGAAGGGAGAGAGGGAGGAGAGAGAGGGAGGAGGTAGGGAGAGAATGGGTGGAGAATGTGGGAAAATTTAGTTGAGAGTATAATAGTCTAATAAAATATTTAAATAATAAATTTTATCCTTTATGCAAGATTTTATAATCACAAGGGAGTTTAAAAAGTATAATTTTTTTCTTAGTCCTTTTAACAATGAAAGGGAGGTAAAGGGGGTTTATAGCCAAATTTTCCTTTTTTAAATGGTCATATTAAGATAACAAAATTTTTATATTTACATATATTTTCTACATAAACTATTATAAAAATAATGTGATAATATTTTATTTTTTTTAAGAAAAGAATAATGCTTGGGACCCCCTTTTGGTGGTCACCCCCTCAACCCCCTTGCCACGTGGCGGGTGGTGATTGGAGGAGCAGGAAAAAAAAAGAAAAAGAAAAAGAAAAAGTAACCAATGAGAGAGAGAGAGGGGGTCAAAGGGGGTGGAGGGAAAATGGGGGATGAATCATTGTTGTTAAGAAAAATTATAATGAATGTTTTATTTTAAAACAAAAAATTCAATTGAGCCATAATATTTTGTATAAAAAGTTGATATACATTTTTTATTTATATATCATTATTTTTTAACAATAAAGGTTTCAAAATAAAAGCTTTGAGTGCAAGTTTAAAGAACAATAAAGAAGAATAAATTGTCAAATATATAGCTCTAGTGCACAGTAGTTCACTTCTGTTTTTTTTTGTTTTTTTTGATAACCGGATATCCAAATCAATTTATGCGCACTTTGATTAACATAGTAGTTTGCTTCTTGTGATAAGTTACTGTAGCACAAAATTAATTCAGCCATTGTTGTGCAATGCTGTTGGAGTAGAATGGGGTGTTTGTTGGAGATTAAAAAAGTTTAATTTAGAAGTCTATGGTAAATTATTTGTTGCAATTTCTTGCTTCCAAGTTAAAAAAAAAAAAAAACAAATGTGGATGCCCTAACACTGCTTTAGTCTTTAGATGTAGAATTTTATTTTATTTTATTCTATTTTTCTTGATATAAAACATTTTTCAACATGGATATAGTACACATTTATTGGAGAATTGCCCTTTCCATTGACTCTATTTTTCCCAACAAAATTCCCATTTTAGCCTTTATAAGGGAGGTAAAGGCTTTGTGGGCTATTCCAGTTAACTATTTGATATTTTGAATATTTTAACTTAGTGGTTATTTGGCATGTGTCAAAATAATACATATTATTTTGGCATATTATTTTATTTATGTCACAATTATCTTATTTAAATCACATCACTTCTCTACCACATCATTTCAAACCCAATTCATATTTCACGTTTTTTATTAAAAAGTCAAAAAATATATTAATCTGGCACTTCCCAAACAACCCCTTAGTTAAAATAATTATATTTGGAAAGTTGACTGATTTTTTTAATTAATTTAATAATTATTTTTTAAAAAATAAAATAATTATAAATTAAATGTAATATTTTAACTTATTTTATTTTTTAACAAATTATTTTAACTAAACCCTCCCAACAAACACTCCCAAAACAAAAAAACAGAGCGTCGGCAGTTTTCATATCGTCCATATTCCAATTTATATATTTTTGTTTTTTAAAATTTTTATAGTGGAAGTCAAGTGGGTGCGCAATAAGAGTCGTCTCCTTTAAGAGGGTATGATGGCTGGAAAACAACACTCTCTTTGAGGGTTCTTCAACAGTCAACCAGACCACCAATAGAGGCGGCGCACTTTAGCAGCGGGAAGAGGAGGAACAAGATGGAGATGATGGGACTGTGCTTATCATTGGTTATGGTTATGGTTACGGTTATGGTATTGCTTCCACTCTGTCATGGTGATGGATTGAGCATTTCTACTCAGAACCTTCTATATTGCTAAGAATTAAAGCGCTTAAACAAGCCTCCCCTCAAGTCCATCAAGGTCCCCTTCTTCAATCCCCTCATACCCTTTTCACTTTCTCTCTGTATATCTTTATCTATATATATTTATGCATGCATTGAATTTGGATTGATTTTTGTTTTGTTAAAAAAACAGAGCCCAGATGGAGATATAATTGATTGTGTTCATATCTCCCACCAACCTGCTTTTGATCATCCTCTCTTCAAGAACCACACTATTCAGGTCACCTCTCTCTTTTCTTTTCTTTTTTCTTTTCTTTTTTTTAATTGTAAATTTCAGTCTCAATTTAAAAGCTGATTCACTGTTAATAGGACCGGTCTAATGGGTGTGTTTTTGTTTTCGGTTTTCCAGAAGAGGCCAAATTATCACCCACTAGGGCAAATTGGTGAGAAAAAGGTGTCCAATGTGAAGGTGAAGTCCAATGGAGGAAAATCAACAGTAATAAGTCAGCTGTGGCATACTAGTGGAAGATGCCCAGAAGGAACAATTCCAATGAGGAGAACAAGAAGAGAGGATCTTCTGAGAGCAAGCTCTATCACAAGTTATGGAAAGAAGAAGCACAAAACCATCCCAAAACCAGCAGCAGCAGCAGCAACCTCTGCTAATCCTGACATCATCAGTCAGAGTGGTCACCAGGTACAGCCCCCACCCACCACTATACACATTCTGTGCCAATAATAAATTTACCTATATAAGTAGGTAATTGTAAATTTGTAGCTGTTTAGTTCATTTATAACACAAAAAGAAAAAGAAAGGTGAATATCATGTAAACTAGGATTGAAAAATAATTACAAATTCATTGAGCGCAAGTGATAATTTATGTAAAATGATGCAGTTCTCACTTGCATTTACTTGTAGTTCATTAATTTGTAATTATTTTATTTATTTTCCATTTCATTTGAACAATGAGTACTATGCAAAAATGACTCACTTTTATCCAGTTGTACTCCAATTATTTCCAATTATTTAAAGGAGAAATGCATTTCAATTGGATTAAGTGAAAATGATTACAAAAATATGAAGATGCAAGTAGATTTTGTGTCGTGGCTTTGTTTTGGGTAATTAAAAAAGGTGACTTGACTTGCACCACAACACAAAATTCACTTTGTACCTCCATATTTTTGTAATAATTTTCATTTGTTCTCTTCTCACTTAAACACAATTCTCACATTATTATTATTATGTTTATCTTTCATATTTATTTGATATTCCCTGACGCTTGTTTGGTTGGGGGATTTGGGGAGGGATTTGGAAAGGAAAAGAGAAAAAGTACGTGAAACTAGGTGAAATGAAAGTATATTTTATTCATATTTCACTTACTTTTTCCATTTTCCTTTCCCTTTCCATTTCTAAATCCCTTAACCAAACACAGCGTTAAGGACATACGTCACAGCACACTTCTGTATGTTTTGGGACAGTCATGTTTAGTCATGTGAAATGATCTTATGAGTGTGACCTGACCGACATAAGATGTTTGGGATAATTGTTGCCAGCTGCG